GTTTATTAAAAGTTTAATTATTGGTACAACTACAATTGATATGTGTAATATATTAATAAAATCTTACTCAAATATTTTTTTTTAGATTTATAAGATAGTATATTTTAATCACTGACATAACAGTTTCTTACGGATATTAATTCCTTTTGTAATGCTTAACAATTAATAATAATATAGATTATATCCTCTTATTAATTCAGTTATTAGGAGATATTTACCTTGTTTACAATGATAATAATATTTATAACTATCTTAATGATTAAATTATTGAAAATCAATACATAACTTGAAGATTGATAATTTGAAGGCATATCCGAGAAGAAGAAATATAATATATTTTACAGAACAATATTTGCAATCACCTCGGGTGTGACGAAGGTGTAATCGAGGTGTCCCTCAAATTATCCAGTCGCTCGAATAATTTCCGAATTAATTTACCACGTAGCGCAAACGCGATGGCCTGTGAAGACTCTGAAACCGGGATCTCCTCTCTTTATGTATGAGGGCGCGGAGGACCAAAATTTTACGATACCAAAGACGCGGGCCGGTCTTTACTGGTTCGAAATCAAATCTATGGAGCCCGCGAATGTCTCACCTGGCACGGTGCTCTTGTATGCAACTTCCAGCGCCTTGGATCACATATCGGGCATGTATGCGAATGGAAAAGAGAATCGACATCGCACACTGAGATTTCAACAGCGACGAAGTAAACGACGGCTGACAATATCCTGGGGCAAGAGGTATCATTATATTTACTGTGTCTTACGTTTCTCTAAATGTATTAGAAAACATAATTTATCTTTTTCATTAAATCAGTGCAGTTAAAAATTTGTAATTCTAGACAATGACTTGATATGTGCCGCTTTGCGTTTATATCTATTAATACGTTTACGTCTATCTTTCCTTTTTCTACCTCCTATTAAAGAAAATATATCAAATTCCTATCCAATGTTGTTTTTAAACCAATTTGTCAACATATATGCTGCATTCGATTTTGTACATTCATGCGCTATAACTTTCATTCTATCTTTATGGTTCATTATATGCACGAAAAGAAGATGAGATAAAACAGTGAGCGTCCAAAACGAACGCACTTATAAGTCCGATGATGTTATTTACCTTGTAATGCCTTGTATTGTAATACTGTGAAAATTGGGAGTGCATTGATTAATAAGAGTATGTTATTTCATTTTCTGTTGATTCTTCCCAGACAAAATGGACGTTAATAAATAACGTTAATTTTCAAAGAAAAGTTGCAAAAGACAATATTTAAAAAATAATATTTAAAAAAAAATAAGCTCAAGGATATAATTAAATAAAAATATGAGAAGAGTGTAGATGATAAAAAAATGTGACTAATTAATAACAGGATAAATAGGTTAAATATGTCCGTTTAAGTTAAAAGTGTAAGCAAAACTTGATTTCGGTAATTCTTACAATAATAATGCTTTGATAATTTAAAATAAAATTAAAATTGAGTCAAAAGTCGGCTTTGTAAAGATTCTTTCTTTCCGCGATATAAATTGAAGTGTCAAGTATACGAAATTCGAGCTCTTATTTTTATGATCGTCACTATAATATCACGGTAATTTTGTTCTGTAATTCGATGTAATCTGTCATTGTGCTCGATAGCGTGAAGTATATTAATGCGTCTATATCAATTTTATCGTTAGAGTCGCAATTTCGAGAATGGAATATTTGTTTTTCCAGCCATGTGGATCCTCATCTTTCGAACTACTGTTTAGTTGTCACTTCGGGCACGCAGTCGCACCCATCGACCCTCTGTGCTGCGCAGAACGTTCTGAAAGCTCATCCGAACTCATCGGCGAAAACCGGCTCGTCCTCAAAGGAGCACCATCATCGGGGCGTTCCGGAAGGTCTGCACTGCGTACGGCAGACCAAACTGACGCTTCACAGGATGAGATACGACACTACGTACAACTTTACCCTATATGTGGTCGGTCTTCGTTGTACACATTAATATTATCACATTAATACATTAATAAAATCGATCGTTTGGAAAACCGCACGTATTATATGCTCAGTTAATAAAAGGCGATAGACACTCTTCCGTTTAGTTTTTGCATCGTGTTCGTCTTCATGCGAAAATTATGATTTTATAACAATGTGTAAAGATTATTAATTTCCGCAATTCCCTTGCGATATTTACATTCTCCATAAAGATTTAAGTACAGATTTAGTTGTGTCACGCTGAATACTTTGCGCGCGCGTAGATTGTTTATAATTGCCATTAAATAATCAAAGTGATACTCTGATTCGACAGGTAAACACTCGGAACAACGTCTCCAATCGGGTTGCTATCGACGCTATCAAATTCAAAAAGATACCGGAGCTGACTTTGCGAACTGGTCGTTACACCACGGCTAATCTGCGGAAGACCGATGGTTTCGTCAATTTCCGTTATCGTCCGCCGGACAATACTTCAAGTACCTTTCACATACTTCCCTGCGGTGGAGGCATCGTGAAGGCGAAATTAAACGGACAAGGAATACTGCGGGTAAAAATCGTCGAGTGTTTACAGAAAGCGATCGGATACGTCGACCGCAAATTCGCGAAAGAATCTATTTAACAATTGACGCTGTCGCAAGCGGACTGGCCGTCCTATCATTAATAATCGGAATGCTTTTGCAACAGCGTTATACGCATATACGCGTATAAGTGTGTAAATGTGTCTCGTGTGATCAGCAGGAAAAAGAGGTGGTCGGATATGCCTCATTACGTGTACCTCCTTTACCTCCCGGTAAGATGTATACTCTGCGTATATCGACCACACCGCAGGAGCTGGTTCGAGTATCCACCATAAAAGTGCTGGCTACGCAGGAGTCGTCCACCATTTATCCGCAAGTATGTTGGACTGTGCAAACTAATATTTCCTTTAGAATAACAACTGTGAATGATTCCGTTATGCTCTGTTCTTTCGATACTTTTTTAGTGTAGAAATAATAATGTTCCTTTACTTTAAAAGTACAGTAACAGAACTCAAAATACATGATTTTCGAATTAATATTGTGAGAATTAAGTAAGCATTATCCTATCAATCATTAAAAGTGAATTAACTTTATTTCATAAAAAATCGTCAAAATTATTACAACTTAAAAAAGATCTTTTAAGAATTGCAAAATGAAAATGACAAAGGATGATCATGTTAAGAAAATATTCTTCTATTATTTGATTTGTCATTAATTTTCCATCAAAAAAATGAAAACTAATTCTTTCCTTTTTCTAGGAAATCTAATTTTTATTATTAAGTAAGAGAAATTCTGTTATTATTGACATCAATATTATTCAATTGTTATTATTTAATTTGCTAGTCAATGTAATATGTGATATTACTATTTTAGTTCTATTTTATGATTTCAAGATTGAAAAAGATTTTGACGCGAATTTGTAAAATTAGATATGTAATAAATTTATATTGAAAGATTTAAGTGCTAAGAACCACCAGTTGTCACTTCTTTTTATTATTTTTTAGTTGTATCACTTTTAAAGTAAGAGAGTGATATATTTCTTAAAAATGGAGATAAGTCAGTTTTTTCACTTGATATTCACAGCCGCATAAAATTACCATCAATCATCTTTCCCGGTTATCGATGAATCTCGAAAATCATAAACTTGTTCGAAAAGCGAATTGGACGTCGCATTTTTTGACATAGATACCATCCAAAAATCCACCGCGAGAGTACCGATCTCTCAGAACATGTCACGAAGTGACGATAGGCGTGGACCCAGCCGGCGACGCAAAGTACTGCATCCTAGTGAAGGAACTGCGGAGTTCGTCGTCCTTAGCGAGTGTTACGACCGTGCCGGATCAGTGCGGACTTCACCGGCGCAGACGATCCGAGTACACATTCGAGGTTTGCGAAGAGAAACAAAACCCATCGAAGGACCGGGCGCTGCCGTTCACTCTGAAGAGGCTACAACCTGGCAAAGCTTACCTCTTGCAGGTCACAGCGCAGTTGAAGGGCCAGTCCTTGTCCTATCCGCTGCTGGGTGTACGCACACGACGTTCTTGCACCACGTAATCCGCATGATTCCTATTAAACGAACTATAAGATCGATGAGACGATAGTCTGTGAGAGCACTGTTGGTGACTTTTAGCTCTATCTATCTTCTCATCAAATAATATATATCATAAAAGAAACGTCCACAAGATTTAGAGAATTGGACGTGCATATCATTTATCTTAACAATGACGTGAATTTTATTCAAGTAGAACAAAGAATCATCGTTACATCAAAATGGCATCAAAATAGCTTCAGAATAATTATTTAGAGTCTTTTCGATTACGATTCATTTTAATGTCATTTTGACGTTATCGTAACCTATTGTTCTATTTGGACAGAGATCTATCGAAGTACATATATGCAAACCGTGTCGACGTTAGTATTTTGTATAAAAATTTTGGTGTTCTAAAATTTTATTTAAATAAGTACAAACGATGACCATTTAAAACAGATTTCGCTCGATAAACTTTTTTTTTTGTTATTTTCGCATATGATAATTTTATCTCGCTATTAAGTTTACTTGCCAACCAATCTCGCGGGAGCGCAGATCACTGTAAAAATAATACGTACGACGAGAAGTTACTTCCGGATTTAAGGATTACGTTCAATCGCAGAGGCACAGTCATCTAGTCTAGATTTTATGACGTTCAACCATACACACACACACACACACACACACACACACACACACACACACACACACACACACACACACACGACGCAATAAACGCGGAGTGACCACAAGCGACATACATATATTTTGATATTTGTATAACATGTATGTATACATTCTTTATATAGTTATAAGTTTTTTATACGTATTCCTTTTACCCTCTAAATAAATATTTTTACCATTTTTACGGCTATCTGTAGTTGTGAATAGAGATAAACTTGAAATTCAGAAAATGAGTAAATAAAAATTTAGACAGACAAATAAGCAATTGTTGCTCGCGCAAATCTAGCGTGCGTAACTTTCTCATTTGTAGTAAAAACTATAAGAATCCTTCCTTGTTTTATATGTTGGATTGTATAATAACAAAAATATAATTACTTTTGCTATGCTGCAACGAGTTAAGATCAGAGTTCCACTTCGATGAGTCTGCGGAGCCTTTCTCCGGGTGAATTCGGTGGTTCCGCCTTCAGCAATAAGGCTGCTTTAGCGAGATGAACTTGCTTATCCTCACCAGGACACATTGCGAGTTCTCGCAGGGTGACCGCCGTGTAAAGCGCTAGACGAGCGCCGTATGGATCCAATCGGCTTACCGTGTCCATGATGCGTTTACACAATTCCGACTTTCGTGGATCGGTTGCCGGCAATAGCTGTATCAGAGAGTGACTCACGGATATGCAATGCTGATGGCCGGGATGCAGCAACACCGTAAGCCTAAATAATTCGTTGAGTTTTCAAGTAATACAAATTTAGTCAATTCTAACAAAATTATTTCCAGATCTATATCTATCTAAAAATTTAGATAGATACATATCTGGAAATAATTTTGTTAGAATTGTTAGATCATCAAAATAAACTATGTAGAAAACTCAATAATGATGTTGCAAAAAGTTTTGATCTCAATAATTAATTTGAGCGTCTTACATAATTATTTTGACAAAATTATTTTCAGATCTACATATATTTAGCTAAATTTTTAGATACTTAAGAAAAACTGTTCTTTCATGTAGCGCAAAAGACAAAATTTTTTTTTCAGTTTTTTTTTGATATATTTAAAAATTTAGCTGGATATAGATATGAAAATAATTTTGTTAAATCGTCAAAATAATTACGTAAAACGCTTAAACATAATGCTGCAAAAATTTTGACTTTCTAATAATCTGCTTTTTAATAATTAACATCCTACATAATTATTTTGATGATCCAATAAAATTATTTGTTTGATTTATATCTAGCTTTTTTAATTTTTTAGTAAAATTTTTTCCGTATATGGATACAACTTTCTAATATTTTACAGTTTAGTTATCATTTATTAATTAACGCGATAGGAATTAATGTTAATGAAAGTCACGGAAGAATCAAACAGAAAGGTATAATATTATACCGTGAAAGAAGTTCGGATAGAGTATATTCAGTTGCCTGCTTCATGACTTCTACAACCTCTTCCTCCAGTCTGTCGATCAGCTCTGCAACCTCCGCAGATGTTATTGTTCCTGGACACGCGTCACAAGACCAGTTGGTATTTGGATTTAAAGGATCGTTTGGCAACATGAGTCCGTTTTTACAAGGACAATTAAGGGTGCCTAAATGCGTGCCCAATTCTATGGGATCAGCGCAACGTTTGCATCGGCAAGCGAAGTATTTTGTGGTAAGGAGATGTTCCCGCCTAGCTCTAGTAGACCAAAGCGCATGCGTGTACATGGTGCTCAAATGTTGTCCTCTGGAAATATCAGTTATGAAATGCATGATGACAATAATATATATATATTTTCACAAGATAGTTTTGGTGAAAATTTTTCTTAGAATTCCTCATATCATCTCTCAAAACTTTTATAAATTTTAGAATTTTTTTACAATTTCTGCATAATCTTATATCTTTCTTCATAAACAATTTTTTAGATTTTTTTATACAAATTGAAATTTTTCAGAAGTGCTAAGAAAGTCTATATTTTTTAAAAAGAATTCTTTATATATTTAAATTTTGAAGATATTTTATTTTATAATTTTTTAAGAAAACGAAATTTTAAATCTTACGAAATCTATCTAAGATATTTTTTTTAGAAATCTTCATAAAGTATAAAAAAATTCTTTTACCAGAGAGATGAATAATTTTTGATAAGATTGATTAATTATAATATACGTACTTTTTAATGGATGTGACCGCGTATACCATAATTCGCGGCCTGCCTTTGTCATCGATGCGAAAGCTGTGTCGCGTGTTCGCGATACAGGAATGCTCCAGAAGAGATGCATGTTCGTAAATTGCCACCGAGCCTTCTGGCGGTGCAGTTTCTAACGCATTTACATCAATCAGGCCACAAATCATCGGTAGAACATTCTTACAATCGGATGCCATCAACAAAAGTGACCCCAAACGCTGACTCACATTCGACACTTCATCGTGAGCTTCCGTGCCGGGTCCTCGCGACTCCACGTGATTTTGCAGATTAGCCAAAGACGTCCATCGGCGCGATTTCATGCGCCACAATATCAGTAGACGAATTATCAGAAGTACCTCGCATCTGTAGGCATAGGCGTGAAATTATTGCGTAAATGAATTTAACGAGAAACGTCTTTAAAAGCGTTTTTAACTTTCTGCGATATAACTGTGACTCAAGTCACGATTAATCTGTAACACGATTAGGCATTCGTATCCTTTTTTTTAACACTAAAAACAGCTAAATAATGATTTCTATCTTTTTCTTTTGTTTAATAACACAACTTTATAAATGCTTTCTAAAGATAAAGTATATATGTAAGAATCACTTAATTATTTTCATAATGTAAAAATGATGAAAATTTGTACGAAATTGTTTTGTTTATGTTACCTTCAATATAATGAAGAAAGTAGCTTCCGATTTTGCCTATTTGATTCTCAATTTAATTGTCACCAATGAGCAACTTGATGGCAATACTCAGGCAACAATTGCCTTCACAAATAGATCGTGGTAATTTTTATGGTTACAAATATACTACAACATTTCTATTCGTTTTCGTAGACTATATATTGTCTGCATAATGTCTTTATAGTAGTACTAATAGTAGTACTAATAGTAGTAAGTTTACTGACGATACCATTAATTAAACATTAGAAATATATTGGGCCAAAAATAATTCAATATAGAGTTAATATTATCCAGTAAATGAAAATGAATTTAAATGAATTAAAAATTTAAACTCTATTTGATTCTGAATGCGTATATTAGTAATAATTATAGTATATTTTCACTTCTTTTTAGATTTAATTGAATTAAAAATTACATTTCTTATTCAGAATTTTGAACTTAGCAGTATTTATGATAAAACTTTATATTCACGATAAAAATGCACTTAAAAAACTGAAATTCTTTTTTATATTGAAAAATGCTTCATGCAATTCAAATGAATGAATAAAAATACATTGGAAAAGGATTCATTTCAACGTTCGCAAATGCGTATTTTTGAAAATTTAAATCCATTTCAATTCATTCTCGTTTACTAAATTGTTCCAATAAATTTTACTATTAAGAAAATTACTATAATTATCAGTGATAACATAACATGATGGCAATTGAAAAGAAATTTATGCGATTATTTCTTTTCTTATATGCAAACGATTATTTCCTTTCTTATATGCTAAGAAAATGCTTGGCTATCTAGGCTATCTCTTTGTTAAATCATCATTACTCGCTAATTTAGTTTCGAAGTAGACACTTTATTATCCAATCTGCGCTAGGTGAAGTATGCAATACCTAGGAACAATTCTAGCTCGCGCAAGGAGAGCGCATTCCAGCTGATGCCTCTTCTTATCTGACAACCCCTCGCAATCGGACCTGCACACCGGCCAACAACATTCACTGCATCTCGCATCGACATTGTCGCATCGTTCGCTACATCCAACACAGACCCGTTGATTCGTGTGAATCGATGGTCCCCAGACCAAAGGCGTCTCCGCAAGGATCACGTCTCCCGGTGCTAGATCTCTAGTGGCCAACAAGTGCCGTCCGAGTACAGAATCGCGACCTATTTCCCAGCCGCTGCACATGGACCTGTGACGCGGCCAATCTTGAGACTGGTGCGACTTGTCGCAGTAAAACTCGCGTCTGCAACTGCCGCACTTCAACGTAGCATTTTTGCCGCATACTGGGCATATACCGTATTTCAGGTCACCATCCATGACTAGTTAAGATCATTGCCCAAGTTGAATTTAATTATTAAAACTTGACTATTCAAGCTTCTGATCGATAATTTAATTAATTGAGCTAAGAAGAACAGAAAAGAGACTGTGAGAAATGCATTATATGCTTTGCATGGAAGTTTTTTCAAGCTTTATGTATTTGATACTTACAGTTTATTAATTCAGGAGTTAAGAATGAAGTAATATTAAACGCGCGATCAATATACTGTATTTATTATTTTTCATTAAATTTATTGAATTCCCCCCAGCGAAATAATTAGGTCAGACTTCATCGCGAGAACATCGTTCACTGGCCGCTAACTTTATCGTACTGAACAAATCGGCATTTGCGAACGCGGCGGCACGTTTAATTATAGGTCGGACGACCGTGTTACTATTCTCGTAAAACGAAAGGAACGAAGATTTTTCTACTGTGCGCGTATGACGCACATGGATCGCGAGATGTGCTAGCGAGAAGGTCAACACATCCAATGAATTTATGAATTTGATACCATTCTATATATGGTTAAATCTAAATGTAAAAATATTGCCTAAATTACAAGAAATATATACATACAGAAAGAACTACTTTGTTAACATATTAAAAAATTTATATAAGATATAGATCTGAAAATGATTTTTTTGGACTATCAAAATAATTTATAGGAAATTCAGAGTAATGCTGCAAAAAATTTTGATATTCTGCTAACAACCAACTTGAGTGTCCTATAGAATTATTTTGATAAACAAACAAAATTATTTTCAAATCTGTATTTATTTGAATTTTTAGATGCTTTAACAAAACATTCTTTTTCGTATAGAAAAGTCTTACATATAACACAGATCATTATTAAGTGTCAAATACAGTTATGAAAACAGCATTTAAAATCTGAAGTTATGAAGTTCAGAATGCAAACTAAGCCTCTGCTTTGTGATGATTAATAGAGAAAGGTTTAAAGATTAAAATTTTTTTTATTACAGGGTTCAAGGTTCAAGATTTTTTTACTATTTTAGAATTTAGAACTTCACTATTAAATTCGTAATGTCATATTGTATTCAATTTAAGTTATTTAATCATTTCTACATCGCCACTTGTACTTACAATATGTTAATTTAACTAAAATAATATAATTAAATAATTTAACTTAAAAAAATGTATTAAATTTGATTTAAATTTAGTTTATTATTTATTAAGTGCATCATACGTTAATATGGATTTTGATTTAAACATAGAAATAGATTATTTCATATTTTGACACATATGAAAGTTAAATAATAATATGTTATTTAACTCAAGGAACTAGGTTATTATTGTTCCCTATCTAACAATATATGTAATGCATATTTTTAATTTTTTAGTGGAAAAAATTAAATCATTTTATATATAAATTTTTTCTAAATAGATTGAATCGACATCAACATCAACATCTCAAGAGAAATCAGTATGAAAGGTGAAAATATGAAGATGATGTAGATAATATTTCGATTTATTATTAAACGTGCCTACATGATACAAATCAGGGAACAACACAATCTCGTTATCACTTTATGACGTAGTAAATATGTTTTGTCCTTTGCGTGTACGTGATGAAAGTCTAATAATTATTACACCTTATCTATAGGAGATGGGATTAATTTAACGATGTTCAGATTCGGTACACAGACTATCACAAAGTTGATTGCTGGTTCGGGTTCGTACATGGGTGTTTCTAAAATGATCACAGCCGCGAGCTGAACAACATAAAAAGTAACACATCCAAAAGCATCTTTTTACTTCCATATCACTATGCCTGTGATTTTTTACGATATTCTCTACGGATTATTTCTCCTTGGAAAACGCCGTCGATATCAATAACTCGCGATACGCATGAAACGTGATTTAAATCCGTCATATTTTTCCTACGCTTATCTCATTTTATTTCTGCTTGTTTATTTTGCGCGAACATCGACTTTTAATTCCATCATGAACATCAATACGCTAGAATTAAGAAAATTAGTGCTATCATGCTCGACTCGATATTAGAATATATCAACATATATTTGAGATGTGAATGTCGATCACATATCAAAATTTATAGAACAGCTCGAAGCAAATCCTCAGAATTCACAGATTCCAATTATTTTAATCGAAGACATTTCGGCTCGTACGAGGCTCAATCCTTTAAATTCTCGACGTCGTCTTCCTTTCGTTACTGAATCACAGAGAGTCGATCCCAATTCCATCTTGCCAAGATAAAAAATACGAAGTTAATGCCGCGTTAACGCAATTTAGAATGCACCCTGTACGCGTAGCATCATTTAAGAATCATTTAAGAAATACGAGTCGCTCAATGACCACGAGAATACTATTCTTTTTTTCCATTTTTTTTCTTTCTTTCTCTCTCGCTCTCTCTTTACACCTTATTATACAAATACAACGAGACACCGTGTAATTCTTATATCTTCTTCACATATTAAGAATATATTCCTAGGTACTCTGCGAGGACGCGCGACCGTCCGTAAAGCAATCCGTTGACCCTCGCGGGGCGGCGGCACGCAAATAAACGTGCTTAAAGCAAACTTAATTAAGTGATAATTGGCGAACGCGAAATTCCAGCCGAGAGATAATTGTTGCACGAGAGAATTCGCACGCCGGCGTCGCACGGGACCACCTGAACGGACATTTACGCCTCGCACGTCATCGTCGTATCTCGATTTCGGTTTATCACTCTCTAACTGCGCTATGAATATATTTATATATATATTTATTTATTTATATATATAGAATGCATTACGAACTCACCACGCGGCTCACAGCCGCGTGTGACAGACACCAAAGCACATGCAAAATAACTCAAATGTAAAACAACAGTGCGCGATTTCTCGTCAGCTCATCTCTTCATCCCTTTCCCCCTCTTTATCATAAATAGAATAAATTATACCTCTTTATGTACAAATGGTACTTCCTCTTGAGTGTTTGTGCTTACGTAGGCCTGCACTCTCGCCGCGCGTTTAGCGTTAAGAATCAATTATGTCGATAACGCTAAATCGCGCTAAATTTTATGCCTTACTTCTACCAGTCTACTCTTTTCAGCTAAATTTCTTGTGGTTCATATTTTCTCTTTTTTACGTAGAGAAAAAATGAGGAGAAATGAACAGTGCAAGAAGTTCAACTAAAATGAACAGATCTCATAATACATTACTACGGAAATGTCGAGAAAGAATTCTGATAAGCTTTGACGCGATCGGTGCCAAAATCAATGGCGCAACGGACCTTAATTGTGCTTTTTTTATGTTATTAAAGAAAAAGATTTGCGAGAAGCAAAATAAAGGAAAACGTAGCGCTAAACGCACGATGAGCTATTGTTCTTAAATTTACAATACTTGTCCGCTTCTAACTTGTGCAGATCTTTCGCGATGATTGTTTGACAGAACGGCGATGATCGAACTTTGCCTTTTCCATTGTATCAAAATATATCAAAATGCGAAACTAGAACAACCGATGGGGTTTTCTATTTTCTCAAGTTGCAGAGCAATATCGGTTGTCGTAGTTTCGATATACGAATATTATTCTGCGCAACAATAAAAATCTGCGGGATGCATTAAAACTTTCCTGAATGTATTTAAGTATACAGGATGTCTGGTAATAACCACATAATCTTTCGAGAGCAGATAGAATAGATTAAACTGAGTCGAAAACTCTTTCACTGTTTTGCAATGTTTGCAATTTTTTTTTTAGTTATCCAATGAGCAGAATCGTCTAAAGTCGAAGTATAAAACAACTTTAAAATATCTTTAATGGGCTTTCTACAATAAATCATTATATTTAAGCTTTAAGCCTTAAGCCATGAAAATTTGATCAATCACAATTGAATGTGAGAAGAATAATTGACTGATTGATCAATTTCTTACGGCTTAAGACTTAAAGCTTAGGTAATGACTTATTGTAGAAAGAAACTAAAAAAAATTGCGAAAATTGCAAAACAATAGAGAACTTTTCAACTTAGTTCAGTCTGTTCTATCTGCTCACAAGAGATTATATGATCATTATCGGACCCGGTATACAAAATGTTCGTGAATTAGTGATACAATCGGGAAGGGAATTATGCTGTACAAAAAAATAAGTCGAAAACGTAAAAAATTTTTTATAAGCTTTGTTTTCGAGAAAAAGAATTGATAGGGAGCGAGAAGTGACGCGTTTCTCTCGAATAATCAACTTATGATTTGTGATTCCGAGTTCTTTCCTCGAAAACAAAGTCTCGTATAGAAAAATTTTATTTTACGTTTTCGATATTTTTTGATATAAAATCTTTCCGGTTATACTATCAGTTCACAAATTATTTTGTATAAGGAAATCCTAAAATGACAGAATTATCAACATTACTAGTTAAAAAATTTTTCAAATTGATTATGCAGATTGCAAATTCTTTTACACAATTAAAATATTCACAGAAAAGATGATCGATTTAACAAGAAGACCGAAAAAATTAAAAAGTTACAATACTAAATATACCCAATTTTTTAACCTTTTTCGATTTTCTTAAAAATTTAACCAATTCGGAGAACTATCCAACCTGTAGTATCGGTAACTTCGTCACTTTAGCATCTCTATAAGCTGATTTTCTTAAAATTACAGAACATAAACTAAAATTCTTTGCCTCTTCCTTTCTTATATGAAATATTTAGAAGTTATCTCAATAAAATATATATAACAATCACGAAGAGAAAATACAAGATGCATTCTGAGAATATCTTGGGCCCTATAGTGAAAATATATGTGGCGACAGTTACGTGAGTCTGAAAAATATTTTCCAAGATACCTCTTTTACATGTAATATCTCAAGGATATTATACATGATTTCTCAACACGATGAGATCCCGCGGATTTTTTTTCGCCGTGCGGAATTAACATCGATTTGTCCTACGATGGCCTGCGTATAGTAAAAATAAAACACGTGTGCCTCGAACACCACGCGCATCCGCTAAAAAATTAATAATATTCATTCACTGCTTTAGCAAACAACGCCGAAATACGCGGTTCTACAGCGCTACAAAACGAGAA